CAGATTGTGAGTCTTGAGCTGAGCCGTTCGTATTGTATAAAGTGTTTTACCCCCTTTGTAAAACGCATCACCTGGGACGCATCATTAATCAGACAAAGGAGATGTACACGATGTTTCCAGTTTAATATCGTTGCAATTTGTCATTCTTACCACTTGGAAGCGGCAGTTTAACGCCCTTGTACCCCTTCCGTTATATCCGAACCCCTTATGTACGCATAAAAAAAATCCATATGTCACACGTAATTACGTTAATAAAAATAAAACCAGGTTGAAAACACCGATAACGTACAATATCAATTTTGTGGTTAAAATAACAGATCCGTTTTCGGTGGTTTTCCGTTTCCCTTTGGGGTGTTGTTATTATGCTAAATATTCGAACAAGGTTGTCGTGCACGCATTTTTCACAAACATACGTAAAGAAGCCGGTCAGTAAAGGAGGCACGGTAACATAATTGGATATGGCATGTACGCGATTTTTCACAAGCATTTACACAGAGATAATCGTTTTTGTGTACCGTACACATAGGGACGATGCGTATTCCGGGTGGTCCGAAGATTTTACAGGGTGTAACAAGCAAAAGTAATATGTCAGTTTGTGTTACTTACAGATCGATGAGCTACGGTATTCGATACGCAATGTTATACCGGTCTTATTTTCAATGTATCTGTTTTCATGCATCTGTTCGAAAATAGATCTGGCGGGAAAACATAACGCTTATTAATGCGTATAGGTGTCGATTTGCTCGAAAGTGATACTTTTGCTCGCAGGGTGAAATAAAAAGAATTTCGTCCAGAAGTTGTACTGTAGATGCACAGTCGAAATCCCGAAAACTCGGAAACGTGTTTTGGATTTTCATCACGTCCAGATCTCATAATGGTAAAAACCAACTAAATTTCCACTCTATAGCATATGTATCGGTGTGACAAAAAAGCTTTACCCAAAATCCGAATTATTCCAGAGACGCTATGTTGAATTTGTACGATGAAAAAAGATAGAAATACATATACAGAATATCAAGTTAAAGGAATATATTCATCATGTCCTACAGCGGTCATTTTAGGAGAACGATTTATATACAGTGCGTTCTAGATAAGAGGATCACCTCGAGATCTCTATTATTTGGCGAGATATGAAAAATTTGTCAAATATGATTTTATATGTGGTATTACGCTCTATCCGATCGAACATTGAAACTTCGGGCACCACTTCTGGATCAACCGAAAATCTATGCAATGTTTGTTTTACAAGCGCAATGCCTAAGTATATGTTTTTTAGGATATGTCAAAAGAGCAGTAATTTGCTGTACGACAAAATAAAATGTGCATGTGGTACATCAAAAAAATGGAAAAAAGCTATGCGAGCGTGGTGATGTCACCAGTAAGATTTATAAATAAAGATGTTTCATTTGCACCACACTGCATTATTTATTGCAAGTGTGCTATAACCACGAGGCAAAACTGGGCAGTTTGTTAAAAAAATATTTGGTGTCATAAAAACTACATGTACCTAAATCAACGATGAATAGGTAAGCTTAAAACAGGCTGCAAACATCCGATCGACTTTGAATCACTGTATTAAATAATATGTCCGTGTATCATTTCAATTAGGCTATTTTAGGATGGATCGACAACCAGTAAAATATATCTTTTAAGCTTTACTGAAAAAAAGGCATGCATTTCATAGTTTATTAAGGATACTCAGATCCTTTATAACGGACGATCAAAAAAGGATTGACGTCGAGTCACCTTTGTAAACAAAAATTCCAAAGGTAACTAGACAGCAATTATTTTTTGATGGTATAGTAGTTTTGTATGGTTCTCCGTCTTTTTGTCCGCCCTGTTTGTGTTCGTTATAACTGTTAGTTACGATCCCCAGATACTTTTTATAGCATTTAATGTTTGTCCGTTCGTCCGTCCGTGTAAAACACTTTAATAATGCCAATATGTTCCCCTAATAATCTAAACTAATAATGTATCAAAGGGAAGGGCTCCGATTTTTTCATAGATTACTTCGCGGATTTATCCTGTATTAACGTAGAATCGCTAAATAGCGCTTGTAAATATTTTTTTTTAATTAAACTGTCACTTTGAACTCTGCCAAGCTTGGTCAGTTTTACCTATAACTTTGAACCAAAGAAACCCAAAATCTTAATCCAAATCTCTGTTTGATGGAGAAAACGGCTAAATGCTATGATCGTGAGTAAGATAATAAAATAGATTAGCGCAAATATCGGTGCAAAACATCTCATCTTTAAACAGTCGGTATTCAGTTGATATAAACTTAAAAAAAATAGTCCGAACATTTGGTAGATAAAGATTTAAATTTATAAAATAGTTCTTAAAAAATTCTTTTTTTTTTAAAGCAACTTGAGTTTTACTGGCGGGCGCTCTTATGGAAATTTACATTGGGTGCAGTACGTACAGAAGACTCTTAAGGATAGATGTAGTTTTCTATAGAACCAAATTGAAATCACGTGTCCGAAAATAAAAATAACTTTCTTATTTGTGAACCATATTTTCTGCAATTTTAACTGAAGGTGCTTCTTAGAAAAGCGAATGGAATGGAAGACACAGCACAAAAAATATATAGTGAGCGGCTAAAATATGAAACAAATTCATTTAAAAATCAGTTGTTAGTTTTAAAACTGCACTGCACTAAAGTGAAAATTTACAGGGTTTCATCAAAAAGTAGAAAGTTGATTTTTTTAATGGAACAGTATTTTTTAAATCCACTTTCGAATGTGTCAAATTCTACGCATAATAAAAATAATTCGAAAATGGATTCTAAAAAATACTGTTCTATTAAAAAAATCAACTTACTCATTTTTGACGGAACCCTGTGTATTTTCTTTTTAGTGCAGTGTCAGTTTTTTTTTAAACCCAACAACTAATTTTTAAATGAACTTGTTCCATATTGACCGCTCACTGTATATAACAACGTCTCCATTTTGGTTCAATAGTTGAAAATGAATTTGGCTTAGGTAACGAAATTTTTCGGAAAAATACTATTAATGTGTGGTAATGTTTACGATTACTTCTTTAACTTGTTTATATTATTTTAAGTTTCTGATATATTTCCAATGTCCACAACTGGCACACTGTATGCAACATAAGAATTTTGAAAGCCGACCCAGCTAATAATATTCCATAATATTGTGTACATACATTTAGTTAGATAGGTAATTACTTTTAGCATAGAGTAAACAAGTCTATGCTTTTAGTTAATTATTTTCTTAGCGTAAATTGCAATATGTAGTTACATCAAGACAAGATTAGTTTTAATTTACGAAAATAAATGATAATTATAATTTGTTCCTCTTTCGAAATTTGTTCCTGGTTGACTTCCTGATTGCATTGTAAATGTAAAGCTGCATTATTTTACTAATCCACGTAATTGAACTGTATGGAGACATTAGAGACATAAATGATCTTTGCTTGATGAGGAACCATCCCAGCAGGAACGATAATACCATAATAGCAACACATGTCTCCCCCCCCCCTGCAATTTCATACTTTTCTCTTTCTTACCAATTGCCATCAGTTACATAAAAAAATTCGTGTTGTAACCAGACCTCTGAATTTAATCTGTGAGAACAATAAACTCGTAGGTAGATATATATCCAATTTTTTCGTATTTGCAACACTAACAAACTCCACAATTTGAACGGCACAATCCAATATGCATCGAGAACAATTTATTGCTATAATTATTGCTTATTCCGTATTTTGTAAAAAAAGTGAGAGCTGAGAGGCAAGTTGGTCCCCGAGATTTGAGTACAGGGTCTGCATGCACCCTGTACGACATTATGAGCATAGGTACCTAATAGATATAATTTTAAATGGTAATTTTGACTTTGCAGGAAAGAATTTTCTAGCTTAAGTAGAAATGTCTCAGTTGAAAAAGTCGGGGTTTCCGGGCTTTCCAACTCCACCGAACATATCATAACTCTTCGGTTTTTGAGTTTTCGAAAACAACTTAATTATACATTCCATTGTAAGTATATAAATAAAGTGTTATAAATTACAGTCATAAGTTGAAGTTTCCGATTAAAGAATGATAGAGTAACTAAAATTAAAGTAATGCGAACCCCCAAATAAATTAAGCATTACAACAAAAACTTATTTATCAGACCACCAGGAATAAAAAAATTCCATTGCGATGCTGAATGAAGATTATGAATGAAACCGTTTACTTTAGAAAGAGGTGCCGAAACAATACCTCGTCCATCGCACAATTTCTTGTGGCGGCAAGCTTTGTGTTTATAGCAGGTCCAAGATTGAATCTAAGAAAAAAATATAAGGTCACAGACCCTTCTATTAAGGGAGGTGTTGTGTTGATATTTCCCACCTTATAGGTACTTTCGATAAATTACACCATATTCGACTTCTGGAAACTTAAAGCAACAAAAACTGGCACTTACACATAAACGAGCCGTATAATAATAGGTTCGGAAAATCGAAAGGAATCTTTGCATGCTCGACCGGCAATTACGAAGGGTTTTAATTAGTTCAATACAAAAGGACGCGTGCATGTCGGCGCAGCAGAACGAAAAGAAACGGACCAAGAAATGGGGGCCCATATGGCGCTCGCGTGGCAGACGCCTCTTAACAAAACACGCAAAGGTTTCAACTTCTTTTAACAAGAATTTAATTATCTGTAACATGAGGTTAATTATAAGTGCAAGTAAACCGCGTCGCAGTTGTCGCGAAACATTTTTTGAAGTGTATCCGAAAAATTCCCCAAATCCATAGTTTCTATGAACATTAATAACATATTAGCAAATCGCGATATCCTTATCAGTAGAAGGTCGAAACGTTTTGATAAAACTGTATTTCCCTCGCCTAATAGCCGTATTGTTATGTGCGAGTGTATATTTAGAATGGCGACCGCGTCGGATCAATAAAGGCGCCGCGACGCTATTGGACGCCGCCAAAACTATTATACTACGCCATTTTGTCCCAGAAAATTTCTATAATTATCAATTTCAATGCACACTCACCTTTCCGGGTTCTTTGTCGAAGTCGCATTCTCTGTTTTGCATGTAGGAATTTGAAGGGGGTGCGAAGACGAGTTGAAGATTTGTGCCGGTTGCTACGAATGCTATCTCTGTGTGGCCCTCGCGACATGCATTTTGGAAACGTACTTGTCTTTCTTCTTGCGGCCGGTCTCTGTATCCTGTGTATCGTACCTGTAAAAATAAAAAGAATAAGTAACAATTTCTAGTCTGGTAGCGCGATAAAACGATAGGTAAACATTTTTGCACAAATCGAAATATACATTGCCATCAACAGCTCTTTATTGAAAAAAAATTCCACCCGTAAAGGGAACGTAGAGGCGAGCGTGGAGGTGCAATTTTGCTTTCAAACAATGCGAAAAACCTTTTTCTTCACAAAACAAATAGGTATAATCCTAACATCCCTTCTGAATGAATTGAATTTCCTTAAATAGGTAGAAGGTTATTTTTATCACGAATTTGCGCATATAGTAAACATTTATTCAATACTACGTATACGTAAACTACCTACCTTTCACATGTCATTTTCGACGATATCTGCTAAGTATTGCTTTAAAATGTATTAGATATTGATTGTAACACTCTCATGCAAACTCAATTTCAAACTGCTGATCCCCCTTGAACATTAAATCCTTTCTAAAGAAAGTGCAAGTCATTAAAGATACACCCACTTTTAGAAAAAATCACACATATCGTTCACATTTATTAAGGGTATATATGTTCGAAAAGGGGAAAATTTCACTCTGTTTAAATGCGGTTTGGAATAAACCTACTTTTTTGCTCAAAGGGAGTGCCCTTGAACATTAAGTCCTTTTTAAGAAAAATGAAATTCATTATACCTTACACCCTATTAAACATAAAGGTAAATCACACCTACCCTGCAAATTTATTAAATATGGCGGTACCTAAGTTCTTTATATATACCTAAGTAAGAAAATTTTAGGTTTGAAATCAGCCTACTTTTGACACAAATCGATCACCCTTGAGCATTAAATGCTTTTTAATGAAAATGCAATTTCTATTTTAACAAATGTTCACACCTATATAGCTCTAATCTAATTTATGAAGTACTTAGGTAGTACTTTATATGAGTAACAAAAGAGAAACGACACCTTGTTGAAATGGATTGAGCGTACTTTTTGGACCTAAACAATCCCTATTGAACATTCTTCTTTTCTAAAGGCAGTGTGTACAACATTCTCTATTTGCTGTAAGTTTGATCCTTGATGCAAATTGCAGCAACTAAATGAAGAACCTTTTACCTCTACGTTTAGGATAACCCTTCTTCAACGCATTTTCCACCAACTTTTGATCTTTATATTTATGGACCAATTTCAGACGGAAAACTACCAAACGGTTTTGACAAAGCCATGCCAAATCGTTAATTATGCAATATGCACCAATTTCAGTAGCAAAACATGTTATTCTGTAGATGTAAACCATTGCTTGTTGAGGTTAGAAAAATACAACTCAGACCACACTAAATTTGTACATTTTTTACACCTTAAATTTTCGACCCCTGTGTAGTATCAGAAACGTTAAACAATTAACAAACGACCAAAAACGATTAAAAAAAAAGATATTTCCAAAATTCAAATTTGTAATTAAGGGTTAACTTGAGACATCTGTAGCAGAAACACAAAGGACAAGTATATTTGTCATATGCCCATTTAGTACCTACACTGGGGATTTTCTCGGCAGTAGTTCAACAGCAAAACAGAAACGGAATAGTATATCTTTGAATTATTCTAGCCTGAGACATGATTATGTCAAGAACGAAAGTGTCGAAACGTCGACGGGGAAATAGTGACACCATATTTATGATGCGTCCTAAATTCGTACTTTTAGCAAACAATTACTTTTTGCTTTTGGGTTTGGGTAAAAATTTGCAAACTATAAATTGTATAAGTGCGTATTTAAGGCAATTTATTTATCGCGATTGATACAGTTGAAGACTCTGACTCAGTCCGGAAAGTTGGACCACTCTAAACCATTGCGTTTGGGCTAGACTTAAATTTGCAAATGCCTGATGAAATTCAATCAAAGAAGACCAAAAATTTTAGAGTCTTTGCGAACTGTGTATATTTTTATTTCAATACGATGCACTTAAAAAACTTCCTAAATGAAAACAAAAATCTAACCTTGCCTTTTCGATGATACTTCACCACATTTTTGTACCAGTCCCCGTGGTCACTTTTCAGCCTCGCAAAATCAGATTAGAAGTAGAAACGGTACGAAATTAAATCATTCACGCTCGCGGTCAAGAAGCAACTGATGGCATTGCCTTGTTGGTTTTAAATATTATCTCCCAAAACTTGTTTATTATGGTCTGTTAAACGGGTCTAATTATTTACCTACATTATTCTATCTAGAACCACTACGACTCTTATCGTATGTCTTATTATGTCATAGTTATACGTCATCCTAAATGTGTGAGCATGTACCGATCGAGCCAATAATGCAATCAAGTAAAAGCCGTTTCAAGTTCCTTACGAAGTTTTTTAAAATCCATTTACTTCTTTAAATGTTCCTCGAATTTGTCGTTATGTGTTTTTAATTTTCCCTTGAATTTCGTCCAAGCTCCCCATAATTTTCTCATAAGTTTCTCAAATAACATTCAAATAAGCCATTTTCAGCTGCCCTCGCGTTCCTTTCAAGTTTCATTTTTGATGTTTTTCTCACAAAATGTGGAGAATAATTAACCATGGAGATCAAACTTGGAAAGTTAATTGATGTTAAAATTAAGAAAAAAATGCCTTGGGGAGGAGAGAAATTCATAAATTGTAAATCGTATTGATTATGTAAGCACAATTTTTGTCAGCTTAGGAGATATTTTGAAAAAATCGGAAAAATAGGAAACATTTAGCAGTTTTTTTAAAATGGCAAATGAGCGGAGGTGGGAGGAATTCAAACACTTGAATTTAACATTAGTGTACCAACCCTGGTACCAACTCATACAACATAACCAAAGTTAGAAACTACCCTAAATAATGTATCCATATTCCCTTTTCGGCGACAACTTGACTGTACTATTCAGTCACTTCAGAAACTAAATTTTGTAGCTGTATTCGCAAATAGCATAATAACGATATTATGCGAAAAAGCTCCTAATATGGTTCCAATATGAACTGATTTCAATGGTAATATTGAATAAAAGTGTAGAAATGTGACCTTAAAGTAAAGTATTCTTCAGTATTCAGTCCTCTTTAAGCATAGCACCCTCTCTTGTAGATTTTTGTCTCGATTTTTGTCTATGTTGTGACACAAGTCCCTGTTATCACATCCTATAGGCCTGGGCAATTACCGCGTATGCTTGAATTGAGCAATATTCTATCTGCATTCGCATGTTACGGATGCATTCGTATTTTTGCAAGCGCACACTATGAGGGAGAGTAATTTGTTGGGGAGCTGCTGGGTGCTATTGTAATTGGTCTCAGGCGTTCTACCACCAGACAATTTTAGAAAAGAATTTCATACATCCCTACCCCAAAAAAAGTAACAGTAGTTCTAAATGTAAAATGATACTGTGGAAAGCATTTCATAGGTGGCTTATATGGAGAGAGAAATGAATTCTTGAAGGCTCAAACATATTCCAAGCCAATTCTGCAATACTTTACTAATTTAACCTTATAAAATTGAAAGCTGATGAGGTAAAGTCCATATAAAACGTAACTGCATAAGAGTGAATGGTTCATTTTCTAATAATAAAACATGCATAAGTAGGTAGGTATTACGTAATAATTACTGACTTCTTTGAAGGACTTCCGCAATGATGCCCTATATTAATAAAAATGTATATGCTATACGTTTAGCATTATACTAATAGACACTGAAATAAACTGAGTATTTTTTTTCAAATGATTTGTTGTAAACTATCCATACACTGACGAAGTTTAAATATGCAGTAAATCCAGTTATGATTTTACATACATAAAGAAACTTACATCCTGATGAAATTTGGAATTTGGGGATTGCGCGGGGATGCGTCGAGGTTATCTACGGCGGCGTAGCGAAAAGTTAATAATTCGCTCTCTAAAATAGCAAGAAAGCCCAAATGATCATTTGGTTAAAATTAGTCTATTCGATTTTTGGTACCTTTGCCGCGAGTGTTGTGGCGCATTTTTATTAATGCCTGGTGCCAATACTATACGAAAAAAATAAATATTGATCCATTCTTCCATTCCATTGGTGTAAAACTTTGGTGGAAAATTTAGATTCAAAATCTCGTCCTGAACCACATTGAACTTACGAAAAAGGCCGCACTGTTCATAAGGGACATTGCATTATCTCATTCATTACAAAATATTCCAATTCGATAGACTTTGTGAGTAAATAAGGAAGGTGCGAAAAGCACGTTGATGAGCTTTAGCTGTGCTATTTTGAAATGTTGGTAATAAATTCATTATATTGTCATTATGCCATAAACAGCGAGCTATAGAAAGAATCAGGATATTGATTTTTCATCCAAAGACATGGACTTTTTCGCAAAAGGTTGTTCTTCACTTTTTCTAGACCTGACTTACTTCCCATTTTCTTAAATGTCTTCTCAACATCTTGAATTTTTCTTCTTGATTAATTATAAGAGCTTTACAAAAAGGTCCAGACCAGGGTTTAGAAGGTCCAAAAAGTGAAAAATTTGAGAAAAGTATCACAAGAGACTGAGTCAGTCCAATTCTTGCGTATCTAAGCGACCGGTTCTAGTGGTACGGTAATACGTATTTCTGATGGTGTAAGTAGGTAAGTTAAGTCTAATTCGTCGTATATGTAGATACATTTCTCTCACTAGGTGGTTCCTTAACCCCTGGAATCTATAGTGAAATAAGATATACAAGATCTGAGAAAACAGTACGTGCATCGTTTCAAATTTCAAAATTGATCGCTAAAAATCTCAAAAAATTCGTTAAGCCGCTTGTAAGCAAGAGGGGAAGAGTCTCGGGAAGAGTGCATCTTTCAAATTTCGATTTCAATAGCCCATATCGACATTTTATGCCTTAACACTATTTTGCAGAATCACAATGTTCACATCTAAAATTATAGTTTGACGTTTCAATCTTTGCTGCTTGCAGACCTTTTTGAAGTGTAGAACCAAAACATGAGGAAGATGTTATTGCTTACATTATTATACGAAGGTTTCTAATAATTGTACAGCATGTTAACTACACTGAGAGAAACGTTTCTTTTAAATTAATAAAAATATTTCTTCCAACTTATTTCTTTATTACCAAAGTATTTTGTTTGGTGTAAGTAACATGCATTTTGTGTAAAAGAATCATGTTATTTCCCCAGAAATGTTCAATCCTTTGGTTATTATTTTCAGCTCAAACAAACATCTATTTATTTCAAAGAAACGTATATCCGCGGCATTTAGACCAAAGATATGTTTTCTTTAATAATATAATCCGGTGCGTTTAAATGTTAGGGAATGCATTTCTTCCATTTAAATAAATCATCTTTGGAATAATATACCTTTGTTTGCTTCAAAAGAATTTCTTTGAATGAACACTGTTCCACAAATAAAACTGCTAAGTTGGTTATTTTATTGAAAACAAGACAAGTTACTTGAGGTGCAAGTACGCTGTAAACCTACATTCTTAGTGCCGAGTCGACTGTGGCTTATACGTGTAAAAGTTTGGGTGTAATTTTGATTGATTTCAATTATTATGGATGTATCCGAGCTGCTAAAAGACTGGGGCTTTGAATCACTAATAGATATTTTTAAAGGTATGTAAACAAACTTTGATATTCGTATATAGAATTATATACCTAAGCATACGGTATACGGTTAACAGGCTAATCCTACTTGATCATCTTTGCTTTTTTTCAGTATACTTCTGAAGTACTTTAACAAAATGCTTTCAATCGCTACTGCAAAACTGTGCGACTTCAGAAACCTCATTGTTCAATACAGATGTTTATTGTAATTTGTAAATCAAATAACCAATTGTCTTGATATTGTGTGTTGAAGTTGATTATGATTTAAATTTTAATTATGTAGGTACGTTACAGTGAAGTAAGCGAAAAAAAGACACGTCCACGCAAATAGAACTAATTTTCTTTTACATAGGGATACGCTCATTGGAAAACGTATACTGTTTACTTAGAGCAATATATGCTTTTTCATCTTTGTTCATTCCCATAGGTTTATAGATCTGCAAACATTATTTTTGTATTGTAATCTTTTTTTAGAAAACGATATTGACCATGAGGCGCTTTTGTTGTTGCAACCAGATATAATTAAAAGTATAATTCCCAAAATTGGCACACTGGCCAAATTCATGCAAAAATTAAACAACTATAAACAAATTTTTAATAGTGATATAATATTTGATCTTGAAACAAGCGTAAGTTAAATATAGTAAACACCGGTACATAATTTTCAAATATTTGCAGGGCCACAGTTCTAGCACAACAGTGACTCCTACTCCAAGTGTTTGCTCGACCTCTAGTGATCTTGAACCCATTTTGCCAATTGAACAATATGTTCCTATAAATCCAAGTCTTACCACATTTTATGGGGAAGAAGAATTTGACAAACTTATAAATCCAACTAAAAATTTTAATTTGAAGTCAATACTTGAAGAGTCTTGCATGGGAAAAATAATTCTAAAACAGTATAAAGATAATAACACATTAGATAGGAGGAATCGAACTATTTTAGTAGATTTGATAATTTCACATATTTTTAAAACTCATGGCAGGTGACTATTTAATTACTGAATTCGAATAGTTCCAGAACAATGTCTTTTTAGCTACTTGTCCAATGAGCACTTAGAAGAGTTGACTTCGAAGATTATCAATCTTTTTCCAACCGAAAAAGCCGAAATTTACTTTGTGAAACCAGTGAAAAAAATTAACTCGAAATTTAGTAGATCTCAAGTAGCACGAGGGAAATTGGTGGACCGATATCGTAACAGTAGAACAAAATTACGTGAAGCTGGCCTCCTTCCATGTTCAAGTTCAAGTGCCACACAACTAAGTACTCCCGAAGTCACTAATGATACAGCAGCAGAAACCATAAAAAAAAGGAAAGTCATCAATGGTTAAAATGTCGTTTAGAACCATGGAGTGATGTAATCAGGCACTGGAATGTAACATTTGATATGCGACACAACTGTGATTTAAAAAATGTGCATGATTTTTTAACAGAGTGGCCGCCATTAAAGGCAACATTAGGATTCAGTTTGGTAAGTATTTAAGAAATCATAAACAGCATATTAGATTATCCATAGACATGGATAGTAAAATATGCATAAATTTTGTAGAGGTGTTATTTCCGTATAGTGAATACTGCTTGTTTGCCATTTCTCTCTGGAGGCTGTAGAAAAATAGAAACTAATTTTTACATGCATACACATGTTTTCGGTAACTGCGATCGAAAACTACAAGTTTTAAAAATTCTTCCTTAACCGCTGTTGTGCGGAAAGAAAAATAGAAAAATGGCATTGGCACAGGGAAAATATTCACATTAATTGTGCTACCAATGTTTTAAACCTATACGCATTTTTTTTGTAGATCGACATTGATTTCGATAAGCTGTTCCCAGACAAAGGACTGTTACTTCAGGATAATTGGGAAAATTTCTATCAAATTATTTTCAATAACAAAAAAGACTTTGTCAAAGATACGGCGGGTTTGGAATTATTGTACCTCTTGGAAAATCAAGAATTAAATCAAAGTAAGGGGTTCTGTATTTTATAATTGTATTATTATCATTTAATTTTCAGGTTCAAAAACTGCAGTTCAATTGTTATTACTACCATATTTAGTTCCTCCCAAAGGGAGATCAAGAAAAGGTAAAGATCATTGGAAAGCAACTACATTAGAATGCCAGCAATCTCTGATTTTACATGCAAAGGTAATATGCCCGACATTCTAAGATCATCAACCTTCATGTTGTAACCATAACACATACATCAATCTATAATTTTATTACAAACGTCTACATTATATAGGCTCCGTGTAATCTAAATATGGTTTTCAGATACCGGCAGATATTGATGCACTAATCGAAGAAAAAATTAATACAGGTAAAGAGGCCAACGCAACCGTGCAACCATACATAATCATTTTGGGACCATCTCTACTCGAAATCGATTGTGCTTATTTGGTACTGGATAGCGTACGTTATCGTTTTACTGACACTTTGCGAGCATTTGAAATCTGTTTTAAAGCATTTCATGCATGCAATTTATATTACCCCTTTCAATGTGAACATTTATATATGCTGGTGCAATTGTGCCTTTTTAAAATTAAAACAAAATGGGACAAAGTGGTCCCATATATTATGGATTTAGTTGTTGCCTTGGATCAGTTTTGAATTTTCCACATTTACCGTTATGAATAAACGTGATTATAGGTTAACATGAATTGTATATTTTGTGAAAAGTTTTGCATAAATGTGAACCAACTTTTTACACACATTAAATTTAAACATAATGATGCTAAGCACTTTTCATGTAATGAGTCTGGTTGTCACCGTCAATATCAAAATTTACATATGTTTAAGAAACATCTTGTTAATAAACACAAATTTAATAAATTTTGTGTTAATAAGGGACAATTGGACGTGCGACTAAATGATCAAAATATTACCACAAATGTCAGTTTGCTAAGCGAATTTCACGAGTCAAATGCTTCGTTGTCTAATGTTCCGCAATGCAATGGTCCCTCAGATGTGCAAATTCTAGAAAATGTCGGAGATATATCATCTCGCCATATAAATGAAAATATCAGGCTATCTGTAATCAATTTTATATCTAAATTGCATAATAATGCGTCCCTAAACAGAACTGACATAAATCAAATAATTAATGATACAGCAGAACTATTTTCAACAGGATTTATAACTATGATTAAAAATAAAATTAAACCGTATATGACAAATGCTCCAGTAGAACTAATTGAGGAAATTGAAGCAGTATTTAATCATTTAGATAACCCCTTCTTTGACTTAAAGACAGAGCACCTGCGAATAAAATATTTTGAAAAAAGTAATTATTTTATAAAGCCTCAAAGTTTTGCAATTGGAACTTTAACTGACACTCTAAGAAAAAACGATAAAATTATTTTAAACATTAAAGAAAGTGAAGGTATATTTATTAGTATGATCGACACCTTGCAAGCATTTTTGGAATTACCTGGGGTTTTGGAAAAAATTTTTGAATACAAACACTTTTTAGAAACTTCTTCGAATTCTATACAAAATCTAATGCAAGCTAACTATTGGCGGAAGCTTGTAACTAAGTTACCAAACAAAATTTTGCTCCCATTAATAATTTACTATGACGATTTTGAATCGTCTAATCCACTCGGATCGCATGCCGGGGTGTATAAAATAGGGGCAGTTTATTACACCTTACCTGTAATTCCTCCACAATACTCCTCACAACTAGATAATATATTTTTGGTCCAGTTATTTAACGCCAATGATAAAACTGCGTTTGGAAATCATGCTGTATTTAGTAAGTTAGTAGCGGAATTAACCACTTTAGAAAATACAGGACTTAACGTTAAATATTCTGGACAGAATATTAATATCTGTTTCCCGCTAGTTTTATTGGTGGGGGACAACCTAGGGATTCACTCCGTTTTAGGTTACCATGAAAGTTTTTCGTCAAATTACCCATGTAGGTTTTGCATTGCCGATAAAAAATTGATTCATAGTCAATTAGTGGAGGATACTCAACTCGCTCGAAATGAGAAAAATTATGAAACTGATGTCGCCACATGTTCTCGCGGTATTAAAGAAAGGTGTGTTTTTAATAGTTTGCCTAATTTCCATCCAACCAAAAATACTGCATGCGATATAATGCATGACCTTTTAGAAGGTGTATGTCGCTATGATATGGCAAAAATCATTTCAACATTTATCAAAGATCGATATTTCACATTAAATAGTTTAAATAATAGAATTCGTTTTTTTCAGTATAATTCATTAAATCAACGTTAAAGGAAAGGATGTATCGTTATGTCTTCAGCAGAAATGTTAAACTTAGTACGAAATTTTAGTTTAATCGTTGGTGATCTTATACCAGAAGATAATGAGCTTTGGGAATGATATCTAACATTGTTGAAAATAATTGAAATATGTTTGAGTACCTCTATACTCCCCGAGCATGCTTCAATGTTATATATTTTGATAAGTGAACACCACCAGTTGTACTTGAAATATTTCAAAGATCTTAAGCCAAAGCACCATTTCTTGGTACATTACCCCCGCCTAATTTTGGAATTTGGTCCATTGGTAAATATTTGGTGCATGCGTTATGAATCAAAACATAGCAAAAAATGTATGCAGTAAGCGTAATATTACGTACACTTTGGCTTTCAAACACCAATTAAAAATGTGTTCTCGCTTTATAAGCGGCACTGGATTTGTCGATAAAATATCACATGCACCTGAGAATGATGTATCCATGTCCGATTTAAATGATTATTTAGCGTTTCAACATCTATTGCCGTCATATATTGGCAAGACTTGTTGTGTAATTAGTTGGTTTAATCTTCATGGCATTACTTATAAACCCAATCAAATTGTTTGTGTGTCTAATAGTGAGACTGTTTCATTTTATAAGATATTTTTTATTTTAATGCATAACTGCGAAACAATTTTTATTTGTAAGTTATTATCATGTGAATATGTGTATCATTTTCATGCGTATAGAATATTTGAAGTCTTAAATATTTACAAAGTTTATGAAGTTCAAGATTTACATACTGTTGTACCTTCTATTGCTATTACCACACCTGATGGTAAAATGTATGTATCACATTGTGTCACATAATGTTTTTTTTTTGTTACATTTACTGTAACCGTTATATGTATTACAGTTATTAAATAATTAAACAAACCTTACTTTATACATACTGTCTTTAATTTTATTCCATCGCCGAATTTCTTTCAAAATATCTTTGGATTAAAAAAAGATTTCTTTATTTTTAAATTATCTATTCATTTCACGTAAATGCTTACGTTTGTTTCAAAAAATATATTTTTTTATTTCAAAAATAAGAAATATTTGAAGTAAAATACTGCTCCTTTCGAATAAAGAATTTCTTGCTTTAGATAAAAAATTTTAGTTCTTTGAGTTAAACAAATTTTACTTTATTTAAAATAAATTATTTATTTGTAAGAAGAAATTATACCTCTACAGATCAAGAAATGTTTCTTTGGTCTAAATAAGTATTCTTTGTAATGAAAGCCTGATGTTAAATAATTAATGATTTTGCGCCAAACAAACATTTATTTGCCACTATTTAAAAGAATGATTTCTTTAAGTAAAAGTAAATTTCTTAAGTTAAAAGAAACGTTTTTCTCAGTGTATGTACGCTGCCTCCCGGTCTAATATGAACTGCTAGTAAATTATAGGTATACGTCTTTCGCTATAAAAACCGGCGCACGTCATTGATTTATGAATCAATTTCAGACAAGTTTTCTATAGATTTCGCACACTTGTTTTTTTTGTACATGTTGCAGTGTTGCAGCATATGTCTAAAATTGATACACAAATCAATGACGTGCAACGGTTTCTATAGCGAAAGACGTATATAATGCTACTTTAGCAGTTGATTGGAGCGCAATACTTCTATTGTATCGTCTATTTTGCGTGTAGGAATAATTATAGAACCCTAACGACTTCTTCGTTGTCGTGCCAAGTATTGCAGTAAACAATTTTTTCGTTTAGTTTTCCTAAGTAGATACCCAGATACCAATTTTCGTCGAGATTATGGTTTCCAGCGAAACATTTTCAACTCTCCGTTTATTTAGGAAAGATACGTGTACCACACAATGCTTTTGAGTTGACCCTAAATATTTTACCTAGAATTGCAATCTAATGGTGGGTTTATAGGTACAATCATTATCATTAGTTCACTAAGCTCAAGACGTTTCGTTGGTTAGCAACGTGCAATAAATTTTTATTTCTATTGGCTATTTTTTAATGATTTTTGATAGTAAACTAATGATAATGATTGTAGAAACCCACCATAAATGTAACTAAATTACTAAAATAGTATAAAACCCCACTACGCCACTAGTACCAACACACTTATACCACCCCATCCATTACTATGCACTTAACAATTATGTACGATTTTTGACAAAGATCAGTTTCACCGTCCCCTAGTACAACGCATTTTTCTGCTAACTCCCGTGATAAATTGTATGCGGTCTTTACCATAAAATCGAGATCAACTTTTCCATTAGATATAAATTTTGCATGTTCTTGGAAGCATTTCCAATAGCAATGAATTTCTCTTTCCTCTGGAATAGTAGCGTAATATGACAGCATGTGAATGATAGGTTCGGGATCAATGTGAGTTTCGTTTAGGCAAAGTTCGTGATAGGGCATTACCATTTCGTTCCATTTCGCTACTACCTCTGGCGGTGCCTACAAAAAATGCGAATTTTTTTCATTTTCACAGGTACTCACTGCTTACTTTTCGTGGTTCGGGTACAGAAAGAGAACATACTAGGGTGACAACAGATGCAAGAATAATCATCGTCTTTGTATGGTACACACTTGATTTCATGGTGGCACTATTTTTCAAACTTCAATAACGGTACCGATCTCTTGAACCGACGGTATATAGCACATAATGAATCGTAACTTATGTGCTTGCTTAGCGGAATTCTTATCTCAGTTAGAAGGTAAACAAGTAAAAGGGCCATAAAACAAAGGTAAAGGTAAGCAGGATTATAATGATTAATTGAGCAGGTACTAATTAATGCATGGTAAAGTTCAAAGTGTGCATGCTCCTGACGTTAGCATATTTTTCTAGCTTCACCTCCGGCTCGTATCGTTTAAACCTCGGTTTAAACGTAACTCCGACAATGATATACAATGGGATTCCTCAGGGTGTAAGGTCAATTCCTTCACTTCATATGTATAAAAAGAAACGGAAGGGGACTGTCTTTTATTCTCTAAAGAATACTTTGATGTTTTTGAGGAGTGAGTGGAGTTTACGTATTTTTAGTATTTACTAATTTTTAACCTGTACCTATATGTACATTTATATTTTCTTGTTTCTTTTGCGCTTGTTAAGAATATTTTTTAATTTTTGAATTGTTTTACCCTCTGGTAAAGAATACACGTAGAACACTTGAATGCATATTCATGAAGTGAATTAAAATATGTCAATTATAAAAGAAGCAATTAAAACGATCCTTTCAGCTAAGTTTAATATAATTTACTAGCAGCTTGCGCAAATTGGTAAACTTAATTCCAATTACAACCGAACGCATAGTTTCACAGGGGACAAATTTTAATTAACCATAATTAAGAACAAAGCAGAATTTCGACAACGTTAAATTTAATTAAATCTGTCTTCAGACCACGCCCCCAACGGCGGCATTTGCGCACCCATTTCGAGGCAATTAGACCATTAAGTGTTGTAACTTATAAA